GTCAACTTTGAACACCCCTGGTTTTTTTTTTCAAAAGGGTTAGGGGCACAAGGGTCTTATAACTTGACAGCTTTAAGACTTGTGGACTTCAACTCCCAGAATTCCTCCTCGAGTCATGTTGGCTCAGGAACTCTGGCATTGAAGTGTGCAAGTCTTAAAGCTGTCAAGTTATAAGACCCTTGTGCCCCTAACCCTTTTGAAAAAAAAAACCAGGGGTGTTCAAAGTTGACAGCTTTAAGACTTGTGGACTTCAACTCCCAGAATTCCTCCTCTCGCTCTTCATCTTGGGGGGAGCTGGAACCGGTTCTAAACGCCACTGTAGATTTGTGGAACCTCTTCTATAGAAGAGGTTAGAACTGGCAGGAACCCATCCCTGATTTCCATACACCTCTAAACAAGTCAAATGAGAATCCACCTTTCAACAAACCTATGGAGCCTCACTTCAGGCGTTGGTGAAGGTTGCTCCTGGTGTAATTACTCCTACTCAAGAGGATTGCAATCCTCCAAGCCACGGGAAGCACAAAACTCCCCTTCGTTGCGGCACTCACTTTTTCTTGGTCTCTGCATCCATGACGATGGAGATGTAGCCCTCGATCAGTGAGAAGGCGAAGAAAGTAATGGATTCCTGGTTGCTAGCGGCTCCATCTTTTGGCGGGCTGAAAAGGCCAAAGAAAGAAATGCCAACGTCAAATGTTGGGCCGTAAATGGTCCCCTCTTTCGGACGCGGGGGGTGGTGGAAATGAAAACTGCTTCAATAGGACTTTTCTACTGCTGTAAAAGCAGGGACGAGTGGTCCTCCCAAATTGGGGCTTAGACCGGACAATCTGATCACAGCAGAAAAAATAAGATTAGGAACGTTCTGTAGCAGAAGAAGAGGCCGAGCTGGAAGGCGGCGTAAAAGGTGCTCTCAGTTTAGAATCGTTGCATTGTCACAAAAGAGCCCAGCGCAGCCCTGTGAATTCCATTGAGCCTTATCTATTGCCAATTTGGCTCTGACAATTAGAGCAGGGGGTCAACAACCTTTCGGACCTCAGGGACCACTAGATTCATAATTTTAAATCCCGCGGACCACTAATATGATCTGCCTAATGACCGGCTGGGTGGGCGTGGCTAGGTGGTCATGTGACTGGGTGGGTGTGGCAAACTCGCTGTCACTCACATCGAAGGGCGCCTCGCCAGCCTCTATTCGCCCCTCCCCTCCCAGCCACTTCTCGCCTGCCCACCCGGGCTCCTTTAAGGCGCCAACAGGGAGCCGTTGCTGGAGCTAAGCAGCCCCCAGGAGAAACAGTTGGCAAAACAGCTCAGTTCAAATTGGCTCCGACCGAGAAGGAGGCTCAGCAGAAGCACCTCACTTAGGACTAGGAGCATAGGCTTTGCAAGCAGAGGGAAGACCTNTTGTTGTTGGGGGGCAATACGCTGACTCTGTAAACCACTAAGAGAGGGCTGAAAGCCCTATGAAGCGGTATATAAGTCTAACTGCTATTGCTATTGCTATTGCTAAAATAACCCAACTAGCTTTTCCGCTAAGATGGGAGTTTGAAGTCACGATCTCCTGCTTTCTACTCTGATGCTGTAACCACTAGACCAAACTGGCTCTATGCCGTCCATCTCCCTGGCAGCTTACAACACCATAAAAGCGCAATATAAAACAATGAGAGCATTAAAACATGAAAAACATTCACTGTTAAGGCATTAAATGTTAACCAGAGATTAAATAAAAGGGATGAATAAATGACTGGGATGGAGGTAGGATCTTCTCCTAATCTACTAACCACCTCCAAAGTGGAATATCCCCATCGAGACCCCAGGGCAGTTGGCAGAACCAGGTTTTGGGGTTCCTTCGGAAGAGCAAGATGGTAGGGGCTGATCTTACCTTAAAGGGCATGATCAAAGATGGTATTCAGCCGGTTCTCTCCGGTTCAGGCGAACCGGTAGCGGCTCCGCCTACCTGCCCCGACGTAATGTGCAAGCACTAGCATGCGCAGAATGCGGTGCATATGCGCAGTTGAGGTGCATGTTTGCAAACCGGTAGGGAAGGTAAGTGAATCTCACCCCTGGGCATGATGTCCCAAAGGGCAGGAGCCACAGCAAAAAAGGCTCTACTCCTAAACCCCACCAGCCTAAACTCCTAATATACCTCTTCTGCAATCCCATTGGGTGGGATTCTCAGTTAATGTGGATCCATGCCATAAAAGGCTTTGAAGACGATAACAACACACCTTGAATTGGACCTAAAAGCAAACCCTCAACCAGTGCAGTTCCCACAGCAGTGGTGGTGTTACCTGGGCCACCACAGGGATGCCTAAAGCTGTATGTGCCGCTACATTCTGCATCCCTTATAGAATGCATTGCAATCAGAGGTAGGATTCAGCCGGTTTGGACCGGTTCACCCGAACCCATAGCGGAAATCGTGTGTGGGCCCGCCCCAGCTCTATGCGGTCCTATTTAGGCATGACTTTGAGGCCTGGCGCATGTGCGGAAGGTATGCACGCCAGCAAAACGCATGCGAAGAAGGCCAGAAGGGGCGCCTGCGAAGCGAGCGAGCGTTCATGGGGCAAACCAGTAGTAACAAAATGTGAAACCCGCCGCTGATTGCAATAGCCCAAACATGGGATGATCAGGGCATTCCACCTTTTACCGAAACTGCATCCAGTTCCAGAACCCATAAGTCATGTTCTTTGGGCATTCAAGGATTCGAATACTTTGTCTCCTCTCAAGAAAGAAAGAAAAAAGAATCACCAACTTTCTCTTTCCCTTCTCTCAGCTCTGCCTCCAGCTGGGCTGGAGAGCCAAATATGGCTGCTTTGATGTGCTTCCACTGGTCCTGCAAGCCAATGGTCAAGACCCAGAATTATTTGAATTGCCGCCAGAGCTCATCCTGGAGGTGTCGATGGAGCATCCCACGTAAGCATCTTGGCTTCAGATGACAGGAGCCCAGACGTGTTTGTGACGGGTCAGCTGGGGGCACTCTATCAAAGCAAGATTGTGTGCGGAGACCTTGGGGCAGGTCGGCTTGGCTCTTGTTTGGTTAAAGGTGTCCTTGGAGATAACAGGCAAGCAAAATTGAGCCGAAAGTAATGAAACAGCAAGAATGTTTAATCCCGAAGCTTTCCAGCTTTTCCTCATCTTGTGTTTAATCAAAATGAGCTTTTTCTCTCACTCTCTTAATGATTCAATAGGGGAAAACTTTCAGCAGATGCTAAGACTGCTGTTACAAAACAGAGTCCAAATATAGATAGCAAGGGCCCTTGTAGTCCAAATTTCCATTTATCTGTGTTTTTCCCCATCCAGCAAAGTAACTTAATGAGAAGTGGCTGGTGAAGTGCAGTGTGAATTTACAATGAAAGAACCAATAGGCTATCCAGTCAAAATAATAGATAATGGATGGCTTGTTAATACAACTCCTTGTGATCCTTTCTGCAGATATGAATGGTTTAAAGACCTGGACTTGAAGTGGTATGCCGTTCCGGCTGTGTCTAATATGCTCCTTGAAGTTGGTGGGTTGGAATTTACAGCTTGTCCTTTTAATGGCTGGTACATGGGGACTGAGATTGGCGTACGGGACTTCTGCGACGTCCGGCGCTACAATATTCTTCAGGTAACCCTTTGTGAAGGTTGGTTGGGTGGTTAAAGTGTGTTTCAGATGGCCAGAGGGATCTGCAGAGGGTGGGTGCAGACCAGTGGTGGGTTTCAAAATTTTTTAGAACCTCTTCTGTAGGTGTGGCCTGCTTTGTGGGAGTGGCTTGCCCGCCATGTGACTGGGTGGGAGTGGCTTGCCAGCCATGTGATCAGGTGGGATTGGCTTGCTGGCCATGTGACTGGGTGGGAGTGGCTTGCCAGCCATGTGATCAGGTGGGATTGGCTTGCTGGC